TGTAGTAGACCCCTAGCATGACATCACCCTTGTTTTTTACCCCTTTTAGCCTAACCCAGGGTATGTCTACACTACAGCGCTAATTCGAACTAACTTAGTTCGAATTAGTTAATGAGTCAACAGTGTGATGCTGTTGCAAAAAAAGCAAATATGATTCTAGGTTGTATCAACAGGTGTGTTGTAAGCAAAACTCGTGAAGTCATTCTGCTGCTCTACTCTGCACTAATTAGGCCTCAGCTGGAGTACTGTGTCCAGTTCTGGGCGCCACATTTCAAGAAAGATGTGGAGAAATTGGAAAGGGTACAGAGAAGAGCGACAAGAATGATTAAAGGTTTAGAGAACATGACCTATGAAGCCAGGCTTCATGAACTGGGCTTGTTTAGTTTGGAAAAAAGAAGATTAAGGGGGGACATGATAGCGGCTTTCAAATATCTAAAAGGGTGTCACAAGGAAGAAGGAGAAAATTTGTTCCTCTTGGTTACTGAGGACAGGACAAGGAGTAATGGGCTTAAAGTGCAGCAAGGGAGGTTTAGATTGGACATTAGGAAAAAATTCCTAACTGTCAGGGTGGTCAAATATTGGAATAAATTGCCAAGGGAGGTGGTGGAATCTCCCTCTCTGGAGATATTTAAGAACAGGTTAGATAGACATCTGTCAGGGATGGTGTAGACGGAGCTTGATCCTGCCTTGAGGGCGGGGGGCTGGACTCGATGACCTCTCGAGGTCCCTTCCAGTCCTATTATTCTATGATTCTATGAAAAGTCTATCTAGAGAGAGAGAGAGAGAGAGAGAGTGAGTTTGTGTCTTTCTCTCTCCATGAGTCTGTATGCTCAAGAACTTCTAAACCAATGGCTCTCAAATTTTTGGGCTCATGTCCCAGCTGGCTCAATGCAAACCTTTCTGCAGACCACCAGTTGCTAATGGCAATTCAGCATTAATTACATAATTATGCCCGAGCCATTTTGCTAGCACTGCAGCTACAGAGAATAGTTTAATTTAAATTATTAAGTAGATTCAGCTTTTTTCACTTTATCATGTTAGTTTATTCGGCCATCAGCCCGGCTGCACTTGCCGCAGGCTGCCATCTGGGGAGAGGGGGCAATTGGTGGGCTGCAGGAGAGCTTCCACCTCCAGAAGCCCGCAGAGACAGCCCAGTCCTCCCCATCGGGGGCTCGTACCTCATTCCTCCCTCACCTCCTTCCACTTACCCTTCCCTAGCCCCTTTTCTTGATGTACAAAATAAAGGACAATTGTGTTCAAAAATGGAATCTGTCTTTATTGAACAAAACTGGAGTAGACTGGGAAAAGGAGGTGGGAGAGGGGAAGAGAGAGGGTGGGAGAGGGGAGGGCAACTAAAATGATCAGGGGTTGGGAACAGGTCCCATATGAAGAGAGGCTAAAGAAACTGGGACTTTTCAGCTTAGAAAAGAGGAGACGGAGGGGGGACAGGATAGAGGTCTCTAAAAGCAGGAGTTGGGTGGAGAGGGTGCATACAGAAAAGTTCTTCATTAGTTCCCATAAAGAAGGACTAGAAGACACCAAAGGAATGGAATAGGTAGCAGGCTTCAAACTAGTAACAGAAAGTTGTTCTTCACAAAGCAAAGAGTCAACCTGTGGAACTCCTTGCTGCAGGAGGCTGTGAAGGCTAAAACTAGAACAGAGTTTAAAGGGAAGTGAGATCAAGTCATGGAGGCTGGGTCCATGGAGTGGTATTAGCCAGGGGGTAGGAGTGGTGTCCCTGCCCAAGGTTTGTGGAAGGCTGGAGAGGGATGGCATGAGACAAATGGCTTGGTCACTGTCTTCGGTCCATCCCCTCCAGGGTCCCTAGGGTTGGCCACTGTCAGCCTGTCCTTCCTGAGTAAGCTGTATTCTTCTATATCAATTGACATTAATTTGTGATTTTTTCCATCTAGTCATTATGCTTGCAACAGGAATAATGTGGTGATAATAAAAGTTCTTTCTCTTTTCTTTTTATTAACCCAGTATTGGTTAACTTTTGTGTCCTGGTTTTCTACTTTTGGGGGCTGAGATTTCCCAAGAAGTCTCTCTCTGGTTTCTCACCACTTGGGTGGTGGCAGTGGAGATTTTATCCCCCAAATGTAGGTTGTTAAGATTTGGGGGGGAAGCTTTATACCAAAGCCTTGAAAGATCAGGTTTTGGGGTACTTTTGCGGGCCCCCACTTCTGCATTTATCGTGCCAGAGTGAGGAAAAGCCTTGAGAGAGACCAAGGAGCCCAAAGATGGATGTTTGATGTATCAGGAGCATACAGACGGGGTGTAGGGTGGGAAGGATGCAAATGCACACATCCCCCTTCCCCGGTTCCCCAAGGAAGCAGGCTCTGTCCAGCCAGGGGAAGGCAGGAGTTTCACATTTCCTGAGCCTCCCTCCACCATGCTCTGGTCAGCCAAGGGAAGGCTGGGGCTGATTTCCCCTGCTCCCCCAGGAGTGAGGCCAGGGCTGGGCTTCATGGGTAGTCGGTGAAAGTGTTGGGGGCGGAATCCCCGAGCTCCACCCCCAGGCCCTTTTTCTAGGCCCCGCCCCTTCCCCGCCTCCTAGAAGGCAGGGCAGTGCACCATGCATGTGTTAACCCTTCCCAACCACAGAGAGGGGGAGGGGAGTGGGTACGTGTTTGCCACAGCCTCCCCAACCCTGGTGGAAGGTGCACTGTGGTGCGTGGCCAGACTCAGAGCACTGGGGCAGGGAGGAGTTAGGGTGCGCAGCACCGCTTGGCCTCAGAGCACTGGGAGGGCAAGTCCGGGTGGGCAGCAGCACTCTGCCCCCAGAACACCTTCCTTCCCCTGGGCAGCTTACTTGGGGGAGCATGGAGGAGAGGTGCGTTTGTACCCTAGCAGTCCACATTTACAAAGAAAGCCTACACACATACAGCCAGCAATGCCTGCCTGCTGCTGCTAGAGAACCCATCCCAGGGCTTCCCTATCCTCCTAGGGAAATTGTTTTTTCCAATCTAGACCTCCCCCACTGCAGCTCAGAGTTGGAAAGTTTTTCCTACACTCAGACTAGGTTTCACACCCTCATGCAACATCAAGGCCAAAACTTAATTACTCAAAATGCCAACGCTGCCCTGAAGAATGGGTTCTTTTCCTTTGCAAAACATTTTATGATGCCAAAGGAGGCAGGATTATAGGAATAAAATACTTTTATTATAGCACCGCAACATTTCCACATGAGCAAAACCATTTTTAGCATTCTCATCATGTTAGAGGTGAAACACGTCAGCATTTCACTCCCATTCACAATCAACCTTTCCTCGCTCCCTCCTCTTCCCCCTCTGCGAAATCTCTGAATTTCTCATGGAACGGGAGACTCATTTTCCAGCCAGCTCTGGCCTGTAGGAGCACTCGTTGCCTCTCTGTCGATCTCTTGACACAATTTCTTGTTTGGGTTCAGTGTGTGCTCTTCCCACCCTCTCTGCTGGCATCTCTGGCTATGTCTAGACTGCAGCCGTCTTTTAGAAGAAGCTTTTCTTGAAGAGATCTTATGGAAAAACTTCTTTTGAAATTGAGAGTGTCTACACAGCAAAAGTGCAACAAAAAAGCCATGTGCTTTTTTTTAAAGATAGCTCCCACATGGATTGGATGCTCTCTTGCATTTCAGTTGTAATTACTGTGGACAGTGGCCAACAAGACACCAGTGTTTTTTCCTGGAGGCCTCTTCTTTCAAAAAAACACTCTCTTCCACATACACATGCGCCTTTTTCTGAAAAAGCGTTTTTTGGAAAAAAGCTGCTGCTTCGTGGAATGAGGTTTACTGGCGTCCGAAAAAAACCTCCGTTCTTTCAACTTTCTGTCGAAAGAATGCAATAGCAATGTGGACGTAGGTATTGTTTTTTCCGGGAAAAACACTGCAGTGTAGACAGAAGCTCTGAAGGAAAATTTCAAATTAGGCAAGTCGGAGCCCCCTGAAAATTGTGAGATTGGGTTTAAAAATCACAGGGTGTAAAAAAACAAAACAAAGCTTTTAGGGCTTGTTTATTCACTGGTTTTTGATGCTCTACGGCTCAGTTTCATTTCTCTTTCTCCAAACCCCAGGACTAGAGTGTGATTGTTTTGCCACAAAAGCTGAGTCTCATGAGATACGCGCCTCCAGGAGGGTGAGTGAGGCTTTCTGAAATGAGACTTCTCAGAAAATCACGTGAAGTTTGGGTGATGGAGTCTCCCCTGGTCAGGTTTGACACTGAGACTCATGGGGATGTGAGTGGCTGTACATAAATTCATCCAAACAAAGAAACAAAGAAAGTCGGCCAGACTTAGAGGACGGGGCACTCTATCCAGAGAAGCAGAGACTCCCAGAAGGATTTGGGGTCTGTGGTGGAAAATCAGCTGAACACAAACTGGAGATTCATAGAGCTAGAAGAGACCTCAGGAGTCTTCAAGTCCAGCCCCCTGCCTTAGGCAGGACCAATCCCAGCTCCTTATTTAGACTATCGGCTCTGAAGATCGGTCACTGTAGCTCTGTTTCGGTAGCACAATAAAGCTTTCGTGAGATTTCAGACTTTAGGACTTCAGAGCTGGTATAGCCACTTCCCCCACCCGCACCAATGCAAGAGATCTGTGTGCTACTCATGGCATTTTAAAACCCGTCTCTGAGGCCAGAAACTATTTTGAAACTCGACTTAAGGAGCTCCTGATTTAACAAATTCCACCTCGCATCTCCTCACTACAGGGAAGCATCAAAATGAGTCCAAGGCAGGCTCCATTAATGCGGACGTGCTGCCTCAGACTTAAAGCCTCAGGAAACCCTCTGGAGAGCTGTGGGAGTACTTCTGGAGGCCAATACATTTGAATCAGCAGCACCGGAGCATCCACATTACCGTTATTTCGAAATTACTATTTCAGAATTGGCATTACTCCTGATGAAAACTAGGAGTACAGAGTTCTAAGTCCGCAGCCCCTTATTTCAAAATAACAGGCTTCATAGTGTGGGGACACCACTTACGAATTCGACCATGTGGTCAGTTATTTCAAAATAAAGTCTTAGTGTAGACCCGGGCCAAACATTTAATTCAATCTCTTGATCTGGAAACCCACCTCAAAGTCGTCAGTTGGATTTCAGGATGAGAATAGCAGGTTGTCTGGACAATCCCGAGATTCTAAAGCAAATTGGATTTCTGAACCACTCCTGCTCACTCCAGACTGACGTGCTTTGAGACCTCAGTCCTATTAGTTGGGCCTGTCCCTTATGGTGTCCGTCACCCACTGGACGGCTTTGCAGACATTGGCGTAGACCCCAGGTCGTTTTGGCAGGGCACAGACGTCTGTTCCCCAGGAGACCACGCCCTGCAATATCCCGTCGCAGACCAGTGGGCCTCCGGAATCGCCCTGGAAAGACAACACAGAGGTATCAGCAAACACAGCCACACCCCAGTGCATGTGCACAGAGGGCAGGTCCCTTCCCTCCAGCAGGGGGCATCAGACACACACATACATAGAAGTCCCATCCCCTCCAGCAGGGGGCGACAGCCAGACAGACATACCACATGGGGCAGCAGGGACATACAGACAGGAAGGGTGTAAAGAGCAGAAATGGGGTCAGGCGAACCCAGTTTTCTCCACCAGTGCTGGGGGTCAGGGCAGGCCAAAGAAGTGACTGGAGCATTTAGGCCTTGGTGCAGCTGGGGGGCAGACTGGCTGCTCTTCCAGGGGGCAAGTGGGAGGGCTGACGACTGCCCCTCAGCAGCAGCCTGGAAGGATTTGGAGGTTGCCGGGGATAGGACAGTACCGAGCCCTGTGAGCACCGACACCCGGCACCTGCCCCGATCTCCAAGGTTGCCCCTTACCTCACATGAGTCTCTGCCGCCCTCTTCCACGCCAGCGCAGAGCATGTTCTCTGTGATCAAGCCCCTGTAACGCTCCTTGCAGCTGTCCTGGCTGACACTGTAGAGCTCTACGCACTGTAATTCATTGGGGAAGGTCACTGGGCAATGACAGGAAAACACGCTTGTGAGGAGGGTGCAAGGCCCTCAAATGGCATAGATCCACTGACCCCAATGGAATGACGGCTGCTTGATCCCAGCTCAGGATCTGGTTCCATTGACCCCACTGAAGTTACGGCCCATTGACCCAGCTGGGATCTGGCCATTTTCCTTTTCTAAAACAGGAGATATTTGACTAACGGAAAAGCCAGAAAAAACCCTCATTTCAGGTAAAACAATTTGTTGTTGCGATATTTTAGTTTTTCTTGTGACTAGAAGCATGTCTGTGACATTTTAAAACCAGTAAGTAGTCCTGTGGTACATTAGAGACTTGCAAAAATGCACAGTGTCATCAGTTTCTGTGGGTTAAACCCAAAGAAGCAGCTTTTAAGTTACAGGCTAACCTGAGTCTTTATAATGTGTTAAAATTGCTTTGAAATGAAAAGGAAATAAAATTTCCAAAGAAAATGTTCCAAGTAGAAAAAAATCTTCCATTCTGTTTCTGTGTTTTCAAAATGAAATTTTTTCGGATTTTTTTCTGAAACAAATGAGATATATGGTCATACCAGGGTACAAAATAAATCAGAAGGATAGAACAGGCCCTGCTGGTGGGGGAGTGGCATTATATGTGAAAGAAAATATAGAATCAGATGAAGTAAGAATCTTAAATGACCCTAGATGTTCCATAGAATATCTATGGGTAGTAATTTTGTGCTCCAATAATAAGAATATAACAGTAGGGATATATTATCAACCACCTGATCAGGTGGTACTGACTATGAAATGCTAAAGAGAGATTACAGAGGCTACCAAAATAAAAAAATCTATAATAGTGGGGGATATAATCTAACCCTATATTGACTGGGTCCACGTCGCCTCAGGACGGGATGCAGAGGTACAATTTCTTGATACCTTAAATGACTGCTTCTTGGAGCAGCTGGTTCTGGAACCCACAAGGGGAGAGGCTATTCTTAATTTAGTGCTTAGTGGAGCACAGGATCTGGTTCAAGAGCAGCCCAACACTATAGCATTTAATTTCAGAAAGGGGAACGACTCAAAAATGAAGAAGACGGTTGAACAGAAATTAAAAGGTATAGTGACAAAAGTAAAATCTCTGCAAGCTGCATGGAAACTTTTCAACTTAAATGTATACCCCAAATTAAAAAACACAGTAAGAGAACCAAAAGAGTGCCACTGTGGCTTGGCTTAACCAAGTAAAAGAAGCAGTGACCAATAAAAAGATATCTTTTAAAACGTGGAAGTGAAATCCTAGTGAAGAAAATCGAAAGGAGCATAAACTTTGCCAAATTAAGTGTAAAAATATAATAAAATCCAAAAAGGAGTCTGAAGAGCAGCTAGCCAAAAGCTCAAAAATAATAGCAAAATGTTTTTTAAGTACATCAGAAGCAGGAAGCTGGCTAAACAACCAGTGGGGCCCTTGGATGATCAAGATGCTAAAGAAGCACCCAAAGATGACAAAGTCATTGCGGAGAAGCTAAATGAATTCTTTGCTTCTGTCTTCGCTGCTGAAGATATTGGGGAGATTCCCAAGCCTGAGCCATTCTTTTTAGGTGACAAATCTGAGGAATTGTCCCACATTGAGGTGTCATTAGAGGAAGTTGTGGACAAATTGATAAATTAAACAGTAACAAGTCTCCGGGACCAGATGGTATTCACCCAAGAGTTCTAAAAGAACTCAGGTGGGAAATTGCTGAACTATTAACTGTGATTTGTAACTTATCCTTTAAATCAGCTTCCGTACCCAATGACTGGAAGATAGCTAATGTGATGCCAGTATTTAAAAAGGACTCTAGAGATGATCCTGGCAATTATAGACGGGTAAATCTAAGGTCAGTACCGGGCAAATCAGTTGAAACTCTAGTAAAGAATAAAATTGTCAGACACATAGATGAACATAAGTTGTTGGGGGAAAGTCAACATGGTTTCTGTAAAGGGAAATCATGTCTTACTAATCTGCTAGAGTATGTCTACACTAGCCACCCTAGTTCGAACTAGGGTGGCTAGTGTAGACATACTCTAGCAGATTAGTAAGACATGATTTCCCTTTACAGAAACCATGTTGACTTTCCCCCAACAACTTATGTTCATCTATGTGTCTGACAATTTTATTCTTTACTAGAGTTTCAACTGATTTGCCCGGTACTGACCTTAGAGCTCCTGCAATGATGATAGCTTTTCCAAAGATGATAGCTAGAGGCTCAGATACCTCCTCTATCAGCTCCTTGTGTATTCTAGGATGCATTTCATCAGACCATGGTGACTTGCAGGCATCTAACTTTTCTAGGTAATTTTTAACTTGTTCTTTTTTTTTTTAAATGTTGGTGTTGTCAAAGTTGCATTTTGCAGCAACAGTTATTTCAAGTTGAAAAATTTCCAGTATGAGACGCCAAAGACTGTTGACAACAGTTTGGCAAGGTCTCCCTAATGATCTTCAGCCCCCTTCCCGACGCTGAGCCCAACCTCAATCCCTTCCTTCCACACTCCAAGACCCCTTACATTGGGGGGATGTGATGGAGCCCCATCCTGACATGATGCACTTTGTTCCAGGCGCAGGACACTGGGTTGCCAGGCTGATTGTTTTCACGTCGTTGTTGAGTTCAGCTGGTTCATCCAACTCCAGGAGCATGAAGTCGTTGTCCCGGGGGCGTCGATTATACTCCGGGTGCACAATGACATTTTTAACTCTTCGAAACTGTTCTGTGCCTTCGTTTGTCCTCAGATTATAATCCCCCAGATGCACCCGCACTGACCTGCGTGGAGACAGGGCAAAGGAGGAGATCAAGGGGAGGTGAATCAGAGCTCATGGGAGGCAAAGAAATAATGTTGGGCCATGAGTGGATTTCCTGGAACAGAGGCGACCTCTGAGATCTCATCAGCTTGGGTCCCATACGGCTCAGTTTGATTCCAGACTCATCTGAGCTTGGTTTTTTCTTGGCACACACATCGCCTTGACAGAACTGAGCAGCGTCATGGGGAAGGGCGCGTATGGAGCAAGCCACAGACACAAAAATAGAAGTATTGGTTACTTTATATGCAAGTTTCACCTTATTCAGGTGCATGTATCCCCCATTTCTATAGTATCATGCACTGTAGAGTTGGTCCTGTTATTTTTAGGCCCAATGGCTGGACATAGCCTGCTTTGTTCTCCTGCCACGTGTAGGCAGTATACTTTGTTAGCTGTTCCCCGGTCTGAATAATCCCCTTCTTCACATTCTTAGCCACTGTTGCTGACACTGCTGCTTCTTGTGCCCGGTTTTACCCAGCTGAAATAAACTCGATAAGCTATGTAATTTGTGTAGTGGTAATTACATAGATTATTTTGAGATAAGGGTGCTGTGTAGATGCATCCTGAGTTAGGATAAACAGGAATTATCATATTTGAAAAATAATAATTATAATAATAATGATGATGATATACAATATTAAATTATATTCAGACATACTAATTATATGTTTAAAAATTTCAATATCTTATGTCGACATTTTCTAACATGCTAATATATGCTTTGGAGCCTTTTTCTATCCGAGTGTCCTGTTCGTTTATTTTGAGAACATTTTTGCAACAACAAAACCAACTTTTCTCCCCTGTCGTTTGGATTCACTGGAAAATTTGAAATTCTTTGACCCAGATTTGCTTTTTGCCATTCTCAGTGCTACCGCTTGGAGCTATAATTTGGGATGAGCAACCACAGTGAATCAGATGAGGCAAAAGTAAAGCAAACCATTTTTAGGGGTCCCACGAATAGGGGAAGCCACGGGCCAGTGTTAAAAGCCAGGTCACGTTTTTTAGGTGAGGGATAGGATTGCATACAGAAGTGAGACTTTCTATAGTGGGACAGTCCTGATATTCCTGAGATATCTGGTCGGCCCAGCCAAAAGCCAGGGGCAAAGAATCCACGATCAGTGGCGTGTTTATGAAAGATGGGGCTGTATGCAACTGAGCTCCTGCCCTCAACTCATACAGTATTTTGAAAAGCAGGGGGATGCTCCAAGGAATGATGCTAGCAAGTGCCGTGGGCAGATTTCCTTCTGTCCACACAACTGTGGAGAGCTATACGGGCCTGCCACCTCTGGGGTACAGAGAAAAGCCACAAAATGGTGCAAGGGCTGGAAAAACGGGAGGATGAGGCTGGGATTTGGGAGGGGGCAGAGGGAGACATGGACACAGATGGGGGACCCCAAAGAGAAGATAAGAACTAAGGACGTGGTGTCACCCGCCCTCCTCCCACCCCCGCGCCGACTTACCTGATGTCTTTGTTGCAGTGCGCGGCAGTCAACACCCACGCAATATAGTTCGTTAGTTGTTCTCCGGTCTTACGAATCCCCTTCCTCACATTCTTAGCCACTGTTGCTGACACGGCTGCTTCTTCTGCCCAATTTTAACCAGCTGAAATAACCTCGAAATAAGCTATGTAAGTTGTGTAGTACAAATTGCATAGATTATTTCCAGTTAAGGGTGCAGTATAGATACATCCTAGCTGTGTCTACATTGGCACTCTTTTCCGGAAAAGGGATGCTAATGAGACAAGTTGGAATTGCATGAACATGGCTGACGCTTTTTTCTGGTTTGGGGCATTGCCGGAGAAAAGCGCCAGTCTAGACAGGATCTTTCGGAAAATAAAGCCTTTTCTGGAAGATCCCTTATTCCTGATTTTAAGAGGAATAAGGGATCTTCCGGAAAAGGCTTTATTTTCCTAATTATCCCGTCTAGACTGGCGATTTCTCCGGCAAAGCCCCGAGCCGGAAAAAAGCGGCAGCCATGTTCATGCAAATGCCGCGGGGGATATTTAAATCCCCCGTGGCATTTGCAATTCCGACTTGTCTCATTAGCATCCCTTTTCCGGAAAAGGGTGCCAATGTAGACACAGCCCCTGAGTCAGGCTAAACAGGCATTATCATTCTTGAATAATAATAATAATAATTAATAATCAGGGCTTGAAAAACGGCAGCGAAAGCCACTTGCCAGCCCCGCACTGCGCATGCACACGCCACCGGTAAACGGGACTCCAGGTTGAAATCTACTTGCCACAGGCGAGTAGATTCAATAGTTTGTTGAGCCCTGATAATAATAATAAATGAAAACATACTAATCATATGTTTAAAAATTTCAATATCTCTTGTCCACTTTTTCAAACATGCTACAATTTGCATCTGAGCCTATTTCTTTCTGAGGGCCCTGTTAGTTTATTTTGAGAACATTTTCACAACAACCAAAATAAACTTTTCTCCCCTGATATTCAGATTCACTTGAGAAGTAGAAATTCTTTGACCCAGATTTCCTCTTTGCCATTCTCGGTGCTACCACACGGAGGTGTAACTTGGGATGAGCGACCATAGTGCACTGGATGAGTGAACAGTAAAACGAACCATATTTAGTGGGTCTCATGAGTAGGGGGAGCCGAGGGCAGTGTGAAAAGCCAGGTCATGTTTTTTCAGGCGGGGGTAGGGTTGCATACAGAAGGCAGACCTTCAACAGTGGGATGATCCCAATATTGCTGAGCGATCTGGTCCCCCCAAGCCAAAACCCAGGGGCAAAGGATCCAGGATCAGTTTATGAAAGATGGGGCTGTATACAACTAAGCACCCAACCTCCATTCACGCAGCTTCTTCCAAGAGCCTGGTGTCCACCCCTACGCAGCTTCTCCTGGTGGCCTGGGGCTTGGAGCTTCCTTCCTCCTCCCCCCACATGCTGCTTGGAGCCTTCTTGCAGGTTGGAGCAGAGCTGCAGAAGCTGGGAGCTCCTGTCTGGCCCCAGTCTGGCAGCAAGGAGCCCTGTATTTTGAAGAACCAGGGGGATGCTCCAAGGACTGATGCTGGCAAGTGCCGGGGGGTGAGCTTCCTTCTGTCCACACCACTGGGGAGAGCCATACGGGCCTGCCACCTCCGGGCTGGGCAGCCACATCTAAGGGTGCAGAGAAGAGCCACAAAATGGTGCGAGGGCTGGAAAAACGGGAGGGTTAGGCTGAGATTTGGGAGGGGCAGTGGGAGACGTGGGCACAGATGGGGGGACCCCAAGGAGAAGATAAGAACTGGGGACGTGGCCTCCTCCTTCCTCCCCCCACCTCCATGCCAACGTACCCGAGGTCTTTGTTGCAGTGCGCGGCAGTCAACACCCACTTCTTCTCTACCAGGCTCCCGCCGCAGTGGATGTGGCCGTCCTTCACGAGAGCCACCTGGTAGGGCCGGGAGCCGGGGATGCAGGGCTTCCCACCAGGGACTATGCGTTCCCCTCCCTGTAAGGCTGCTGTGGAGAGAGGTTCACGTCAGCCAGCAGCCGGCCAGGGGCCGGGGTGAGCATCAGCCACGGCCGAATGAATTGACTGGTGGCAGAAGGGCCATGAGCTTCTGTGAGCTGCCACTTGTGCACAGCCGTGCAGAGCACGAGGTGACCTGCGGCTGTCCCAGGCAGAACCGGCTCATAGGCCACATGGGGTTCAACACCCCCATTTCTGCGCAATTTGCCATGGGGGAGGGAGAGCGGCTCTGTCTTTCTCCTGATGTGCCTGCCCCTGGCCCGCTCGGCCCTGCAGCAGAAAGGACACGGGGCAGCCGCCCACCATGCAGCCCCATCAGCCAGGCCGCGTGGTTGCTGTCGGAGCTGGAACCAAGGCCCTGGTGAGGCTCCCCCAGCAGGGACAGCCTCACCGCAGCCCGGCTGCAGCCCCAGCCACCAGGGAATTGTTAGAGGACGCAGAGGCGCGCACCTTATAGGGAACGGAGCTCCCCGGTGGGTGGGGCTCATTAGTAGCTGGGGGTGTGGCCTGTCAGGGGTTCATGGCCCCCCACCGCTCTGTGGACCAGTGATTGGGAACTGCGGCCCTAGAGTCAGGAAAGCGCCTTTTGCTGTTCCCAAGAAAAAGCCCCCAGAGCTGATCAAATGATCGGTCTCCGGAAATCACCGTTAGCACAGGCTCAGCACTGCCCAGAGTCGGTCACCAAGTGGCATTTCTCGGCTTTGCCACAATACAAATAATTGAAACTTTTTTCTTCCTATTGGAAAATGCCATTTGGCTGAAGCTGAAAGTGTCTGGAAATGAGCTGGTAGCCAGGCAACTTCTTTTATCAGATCCAAACAAATCAACCTCTGTGGGCCGGGCTCCACAATCAAACGACAGCTCCCAGGATGCCTCATAGCCCGGGACTCCCATGATGCACTGGCTTCTCCTTATCTAGTGGTGCCTGGCGAGTCATGGGATGTGTATCTGACATTACTGGAAAAAAGCCATTTTGATTTTTTAAAAATAGTTTTCTACGCATGGTTTTTTTCTTAAAAGAATTAGCGTCCTATTCGAAATGGCGCTCTGCTCTGTATGTTTTTACAAAAGCTTTGCATTTAAAGACATTGAAATCTCAGAGAAGCAGATTTTCCTCCCCAAAAAACATTCCAGTTTGTGGGAAATTTCAAAATTCTTCCCTTCTGTCCTGACGCGGGACGAAAACCCCTTGTGAAATCAGGGCTCCCGGCCGGCCCCACAAGCAATGGAGGCTCATCAGCGAGGAGGCCTGTCTATGTTAATCCCCTTTCGCAACCAGTGGAACCGATTTAGGCTCTTCCTGGATCTTCGCGCTTCCGGAGCTGCAACGTGTCTTAAGCCATGTCTGGAACACTCCTGTAGGGCCTGTGGCGAAACTGCAGAACCCTCCCATCCCGCCCAACGGTGGCTTCTCGCCAGGCTCTTCCCTACCTGCTGCTGCCCCGGCGACCAGCATGGCGAGGATCAGGAGCTGCATGGCGGCCGTGGCGATGGGAAGAGTCGTCGACGTCGCTGGTTTACTGCAGGGAGAGAGCGACAGTGAATCGTTGGCCGGGGGTGTCTTCAGGAGGATGGATGACCCTCAGGTAAGGGGCTCGCTAAAGAGTCAGGTGTGAACAAGCAGTTTCCCTGCCCCGCAGCTACCCTGCCTGTACCGTAGGGCGATAGCAGAGCCCCTCATGGATAAACACGCTGGGATCGTGTGGTGTCAAGGGGGGGGCCAGTCTCCCCCAACTCTGCTCCATCGTCCACTTCCACCCAGAGGCTCCCCCAGGGGCACGTTCCATGGAAACATCTGATCTGTTTTGGGGGGAGAGATGAAATCTTAAGCCAGCTGGCAAAGATTTCCATGAGCTGGCCTGAGCCCACCCCTCTCCTCTAAGTTTGCCTTCTCATACATTGCCCTAGTAACAGGGCCCCACTTCCCTCAGCAGCTCTACAACACAGAAATGAATAGCTCTCCGGTGCCGGGTGGCTCCCATCACGGCAGCACCCCAGATCAGGTGCTGTGCTTACCCCACAACCATTTGTGAGGCTGGGCAGGGCTACTGTCCCCTTTGCACTGCTGGGGAAACCGAGGCACGGAGTAGTTACGTGACTTGGCCGATGTCCCACAGGGAGGCAGTGGCAGTCCAGTGATTAGAAGCCATGTCTCCCTAGTACCAGCTGAGCCGCTAAGCTGCTGAACTGTCCATCCTTCCGGAGCAACCCATCCCACCCCACCCCCAATAACAGCAGTGCCCCCATTCTCTGAAAATGGGGTGATGCTCTGGCAGCCCATAATCACCCCCACAGCAGCATGATGCCTCCCCATGATCTTCTCAGTAACAGCGGGACGTCCCGGACGACCTCCCTGCACCACTCTCCAAGCCACAGAAACCTCCTGTGCACCCGTCTAGCATGCCCCCGCCCCTAGATAAACATGCTGACGATGGAGGATGGAGGGGCCCCGCGTTACCTGTAGCTCCTGGCAGGGTCCTCAGGACCAGAGAGTCCCCAGCGGTTGTGACTTGGAAAAAGCTGAGAAGCCTCCAGGATGGGCCACTTTATATCCTGAGAAACGGGCCGTCCCTGTGAGTCACTGTCATGACTGGATCTAAGAAGATCAGAGGATGACCAATGTTTAGCCACCGGGTGCCTCCCTCCACCCCCAGACACCTGCCTGCTATCGGCTGCTGCTGGAGAGCGGGGGAGGGAACCAGCCTTTGCTCCCATCTCTGTCAATAACCCAGCAGGAAGCCCTTGAAACGGCACCTTTTCGGAATGGCAGTGGCCAAACCTGCCTCCCTGCACCTCCCGCCCTGCTCCGGAATGTGTCTTTCCTCCTCTCTTCCTGGTGTCCTGACCTGGCCCCACTGTGGAAACCAGGCCCTGCTCCTGATACTTGGCGCTGGGTTTACCCTGGGGCTGCCTCAGACTCTGACTTCCAGGATGGCGGCCCAGCCGGATTCCCGAGTGCTGGGTCAGACAGCCCATAACCCACACCTGACCCCCTCTCCCTGCGGGGGGCAGCGAGGGGCCTAGCCCCATGTTTCTCAGTCAGTGCTATGAGTACCCTTAGGGGTACTCGAGAGAAGTCTGGGGGCATGTGTCGGGGGGCATTATGGCGCATCGGGGACCCCCTGACCCAGCACCTCCATCAGCAGCCAGATGTGACTCCACCAGTCAGTAGAATAGAGAGGATTTAATGCTTCTCAGAGATACAGCACAGCCCGGGTATGATGTGAACATCGGAGTAAGGGGATAGGTAGTGTGAGACCCCTTGGGGCAGGGGTACAGAGGCCCCTGAATCCCCAGCATTCGGCTTAGTCTGTTCTCTTCATGTTTTCCCAGTCAGTACTGCCACTTCTCAAAACCACAGAACACACGTCCCCCGAGGTAGACACATCCCTTCCTTTGGTTAATCCCCTTCTCCTGGGCAGGCGAGAAATTTCCACTAGTCATTGTCTACATGCTGGTGTCTCTGCTTTTCACCACCTCTTTTCACCATGGTCCCCCCACATGCCACTCCATGCTCCTGAGACTCTGCGCAATCCCCCCTTCCATCACACCCCACATTTTTACTACTTTCCTCAAGACCCTACTCCCTACCGCTTCCCCGGAAGCCCCACTCTCATGCCACCTCTGCCCTCAGAAACCTGTACCCGTTGGCTCCTCTCCTCCCTTTGCCCTGTGGCGCTCACCCCTACAGCCAGGGAAAGGTGTGAGGGGAGTACACCTCCCCATTAAAAAAGCAACTGCTGCACGACCCACTGCCCCCTCATTGTTCCAGGGGGTATGTGAAGAGATTATTGTGTATTGGGGTTGTTGATATAGATCTTGTTGTTATAGTACCTGAGTTAGGTCACTAAGGGTCAGTCCAGCTGGGTTGGGCTGCTTCTAGTTAATTCTTTATTATGAAATAAATGGACACTTGCAACTGCTCAGGATCTCTGTGTCTCCAGTGATTCTTCCTCAATTGTGGAACTCCACACGATATAACAAAGCGGCGATGAGGGTGGGATACCTGTGCTGCCTCCAGCAACAGAAGAAGTAGAAGTCAGTGTAAGAAACAAACCTTTTGCTGTTCTGGAAGGTGGGGGTGAGAACCGACCGCAACACAGTATGTCGACACTACAGAGCTTTGTCGGAAAAACGGCCTGTGGTCTGGCAGGACAAAAAGGAAAATCTGCATCCCATGGAGCAGACTTCCGATGACCAAGGTTACACTCCATCTGAAGAAGAAGGGCCCTCCTATGTTTTGTCTTTGCCGGGAGCTCCTTTGAATACGGGGTAACCCCATTGTTGGGTGGCAAACCTGTACACATGGAAGTGGACACCAGTGCAGCAGTTTCATTGGTGTCAGACACGAGGTATAAGAAAAAGCTAAAGCACCTTCTGCTTAAGGCAACAAAGATCGTTCTGGAGACGTATGCGGGAGAAGCGGTACCCCTACAGAGCACTAGTGATGTTAAGGTGGAGTTCAATGGATAGACTGCTGAATTGCCACTGTTTGTGGTGAAAGGCCATTACCCAGCCTTAGCGGGGAGATCGTGGCGTAAGAAGATCTCGCTGACGTGCACCGGATGACTAAAGCAGAAACAGGTCTGACCGATGTATTAATTAAAGAAACATGCTGCTGGTTTTGGAGAGGATCTGGAAAGTACGAGGGGAATCATTGTGAAGCTGAACATTAAACTCGGCAGCCAGCCAAAATATCTGAAGGCCAGAATTGTGCCATATGCCATCAGGCCAAAAGATGAAGCTGACCTGGAGCTCCTACATAGAAATGGAGTCCTAATATCGGATTTGAAGAAATTTTAAGGTAACTGTTAACCCAGTGTTGTGTGCATAGTAATTCCCCCTTCCCTGCGTCTTTGCAGGTCAGGCTGGGAGACAAAACTTCAGCAAGATTGATCTGAGTCAAGCATATTTACAGATGCACATTAAGGAGAAGTCCCAAGAGCTGTTGAGTATTGTGATACATAAAGGGAATCAAGGTCCCGTCCAGTTCTATGAGATAGGTACATCTCCATATATAAATGTGTCCCTAGCATTAGCCTGTACAGAGGCCCAGGAAATAAGCCAGCAATTGGTCGTTCAAATCATCTGGAAAGGTCTACAAGGAAATTTGCCTTTGGAAATAAGGAAACTGTTGAGGGAAAACATTACAGACAGGGAGAGACAATTAATGGCAGGGTGGAAGTTGGCAAATTTTACCCTACACAAAGATGAAACGGTTCTCCAAGCATGTGAAATCACTATACAACCCAACCTAACTGGTAGTATCTATGCAGTGGTGTCTATGGGAAGTCAGCTAATGAAAAATTTAATTATTTATTCCACCGATCGCCATTCCTGGACATATTAAGAAAACCAACATTTAATGTGGAAAATCACTGCCACCTTTCATTCAGTGTGTGGCCCGTGAAAATTTGGGATGTGTGTGGATCAAAATTTATCAGAAAGGGACAAATGTTTCTATGTAAAAGACTGTCATGATCATGAGAGATGGCCGGCTGCCTGGGGACTGAAGGGTTAACTATACCTAAGCCAGGTAGAGTCGGCCAATAGGAATGTTGGTAAGAATTTTAAACTGGTACAAAATAATTTTTTGTTTTTTTCCTCCTCTGTCCCTGGGCAGTTTCTGTCCAGCTACTAAGGGGGACAGACATCTTGTCTACCTCCAAGAAAAGACTCTTCACGATGTGTAAGTAGGGTAACGTTTAGATAAATCCATTAGGTTTTATTGTTTTATGGTTTGGGAATGGGAATCTGATGTCTGTGCATTTAAAAAATGGGTTTTCCTCTCCTTTGCCACTAAAGTCTTGGCCCATGGGAGGGGGTCCCTCCATGAGTATATTAATTTGTGACTTTTCCATCTAGTCATTATGCTTGTTGTTACCCCAAAAATATTCTCACTGGAGACCATCCCGTGAGCCGCTCCAGCCGTCCCTCAAACTACCCTGCTCCGCCAGCCCTTTTGTGACTTTTCCATCTAGTCATTATGCTTGCTGTTACCCCAAAAATATCCTCACTGGAGACCATCTAAGGTTACACTAGTATGGGTTTATTTCCACTAGGTAAAACTAAAGAGGAGAAAGCAGCCACCAGAGGTTTAAAATAAAGAAGATAGAACTCTCTCTCTCTCTCTCTCTCTCTCTCACACTCACACTCACACACACACACACACACACACACACACAAGCAAGGAAGCACACACCCTTCCATTCATTCACTCCCATTCATTCCTGCCCACTGACACAGACACATGGGTTGCAGAAGGAGGAAAGGCATATGGATCCTGCAGGGTCTGTCTGCTCTTCTTTAGACTCTATCAAAAGGGGTAATTTGGAATAATTGCCTGTTTCAGGTTTGGGAATAGACTTTGATGTAAATTGTGTGGATTTATACTTATCTTGTGAAGAAAAAGTATGTTGAAAAGTGTAGGAATGATCAGTGAGTCGAATGGAAAATGTTGTCATTGTTCAAATGACT